TCTTTGGAATATGAAATCCCAAGGAGAGCTGAAATTATGCCACGGTTCTCTTTGAAACATGTGGTTTTTCTAGTAGTCACAGTTTTAAGCAAAACTCTTGTCCCTAGCATTGAGTTCTTCTCAAAGCCAGAATCAAGTATGTGTCCACCACAGACTCCACCAATACCTCTGTTCTCTCAGCCCATTCTCTGCCTCTCCCCACCTATCCTGCTTGCCTCCATGTTCTGCTCTCACTGTTCCTTTACAAGTGGGATGACCTCACTTTCCTCTGTCTGTAGAACTCCTGTTGTCCTATAGAGGAGTTAATTTCAGTCACCATCTGCTCCTCCCCAGCACCAGCTCCTTTATCCTAGAAGAGATGCTGTTGTGTAAACCTGCACCAGAGAGCGGCCAGGCAGCTGAGTGAACCTCCCCACTCTTAAAAGCACAAGGTCCAAGCTTGGCTCCTGTCTGGGGTACTTCCTCGCTGTGAGGTGGGAAGTGTGGGAAACACATGACTCAGTTGCTGTTTCATTAGATGGGTGTAAGTAAGTGATCACCCCATGTCACTTGTGTTCTGGGACTTGTGCCTGGCCCGTGCATCTTCCTCAGCTCTCACCCTTAACTACATTTGTCACACCCCTCCTTTGATATGGAGTTCTGTAAGGACAGAGATTAAGTATGTCATCTTCCTGGGTCTGTGGGCATATGGAATTGCTGCCAGGGTGCCTTTAATGGAAAGAGCACTTCCATACATCCTAATTGAGCTCCTCTGGCTAGGACATTGTCAACTGAAGGTTCCACTTTGTTGTGCTGGGCTAGCCACGGACGAGCTTTTTATTGTGGAGTTCTCAGAGCACACAGGGATGGATCTGAGAGATAGTGAAGCCTCTAGAGCTCAGCCTGTTGGGAACCCAGTGCTGGCTGTTCCACATGACAGACTGGGGGTCTTGCTTGGGGCATGACCTCGTTTCTTTCCTGTAAGAGTTGCAGAGTTTGAAGGGAGGGAGAGTGGAGCTGTGGGTTAGAGTTCGCTCAGAGCCATTCTCCTCTGGGACAATCCCTTACATGCTCATATCTTGCTGTTATGGAAGCTTGACTACCAAAGGGAATCCTTTATTAAAATGATACTTCAGCTGTTTAGCTTTTTCTCTTATCATTCCCTCAAATGCAGTACCCACCATGAGTATTATAATTCAAGTGCTTTAGGCCAGGATTCTAAGTCCTCCATGTTCTGGCTTTAAGTCCCTCTGCAGTTTCATGTCCCACCATGTCCCTTTAACTATGTGCTGCTTGGTGGCCTCACTAGGGTCTCCAAGAGTACCCTGGGCTCTTCAACGTCTGTGTGCATTGGTTCCCTGTGCCCATTTTCTTCCTTGTATGTGGAAGTCCTCTTGGGTTTCAGGCTTCCTTGAGACATCACAGCCTCTTCAGAGACCTTCCAGATCCTCGGCAGAGCATGTCATGGACTTGCTTTTGCAGTCTTCTTACCCAGTCTTGTGCATTCCAGGTTCCAGCATTCCCACAGGGAGGCTGTGAGTTCTTTGGGGAATCTAGACATAGTTTGTTACCTATGACTGTTAGGTCCACACTGCTTTATCAAAGCCCCACTACATGTGAGCATCTGTTTTCTGTGTGCTGACTGTAGGGAATATGGCATCATATCAGCTAACAGCTATCCCAGGGGGGTGTCAGAAGTCAATAACAGGGGCACTCAGGATTTGTTTGATCAAGAACACAGCCATTTGAAATCTCTTAGAATTGATCTGATGGTATTTCATGACTATCCTTTCTCAGGCCTATTCTGGACACCTATAGCTGTGTGATTAATGCCAGGCCTTTGAGCTTTTCCTTAAGAACTTACAACAAAGTAGAATAGACAACAGATTTGCAGGTTTCTTACTTGAACATTAAAAAAAAAAATCAGCCATTATTTTTATACCAAAGCAATTTGAAGTGTGAAAATGGAAGTTTTTTTTCAAAAGGTATATTTCTGCCCTGAGAAGAATAAATGTCCATATTCTATTTGTGACTATAATTAATAAAACCCTTGTCACAGAGCTTGGTTTTTGAAGACTTTGGTTCAAGACTGGTGCTGTTAGCCCCCAAACCTTTGATGTACATTCAATCTTTAGGTTCCTCTGTGTATGAGTAGGAAGTCTTGCTCAGTATTGATAGAGTTTAAATAAGATTTTGAATGTCCAGCTGATTAATGTGTGATTACAAATTAGGTTTAAGCTGGGCTGTGGTGGGGGCATGACTTTAATCCCAGTACTAGGGAGGCAGAGTCAGGTGGAGCTCTGTGAGTTCAAGGCCAGCCTGGTTTACACAGTGATTTCCAGGACAGCCAGGGCTACACAGAGAAACCTTGTCTCAAAAAACAACAATAGCAACAGCAAAAAAAGAAATTGGGTTTGGAAATATTTTTAAAGTAGCATTTTTAAACAGTGTGCATTAGACGGAAAATACATGCAGAGTGTTCATGAGTATTTTATTTTTGAAATTGATAACATAAATGAATTTACTTAGAGGTAACAGCACATATCTTAGAGAATACAAATGATTTATATGAAGTTTTTAATCCAAATAATTTGTATCTGTAGATCCATGGTCATTGAGAAGTTATAGAAACCTTGGAAAGTGAACATGCATCAGTGCAGAGTGTGTGGTCTCTGTAGTGCATATGCTGGATGCAGATCTCCAGGAAATGGTCATTCACACCCTGAAGGGCAGGTAGTATCGGCCCCGTTTTGCTGACAGGAAACTTGAGTGTGAAGAGGTTAACATCGTTTACACAAGGCCAGGATTTGGAACTGTGCTCCTGATGGCTTTTAGAAACCCTTCTATTTACACACGTGCCGTGGCCTGCCTGACTTTATTTATTCTCCTTGTCCTCTTTCTCCATGACAGCGGCTGGTTTAGGGCCAGATAAAGCCGTGGCAATCTGCAGTCTTGAAGCCCCTTTGCCTGTGAGGAGGTCTAGATAAGAATGAGAACATTCTTTCTCCTTGCTTCTTCACACCCATTCTTCAGTCTTTACTTCTCTTCCTCCATTTTGGGGAGAAACTTACCATTTCTGCTTTGAAGCCAGGAGACTACGTGAAGATGGTTCTGTATTTTCTTTTAAAACCTATAAGTGTCATATCAGATTCACTAGTATTTCTCACTGTCTTCGGGAACTTACGGACCCCGTGTGAAAAGGATGGCTGGAAATTGGGAGCATTGAGGTCTCCCTTGAGTGGGAAAGGGTTTCAGACCGACCCCCTCCTTCCACTCCCAATGCCTTCGTGTAATCATCCCATCCCACAAGAGTGTGGGCACTGTTGGTGATTTCTAAGGTTTTAAAATTCTGTTATTTTTTTCAAGTCTCCAAGCCACAAGTTTCTGCTGAGCTGCATATTCCTGCTGCTGTTTCTCTGATACTTTTCAATCTTTACATTTAATCTCTTCAACAATGTATAATTTTTTAAAGGGAAGCTCTTATAGACACTTCTTAAATATAAGGGTGGAGGGAATAAAAGGATGTTAAAAAATAGAAAACAACCAATTAAATAGTATATAGCATATAATTCTCCTTGGAAACTTACTGCGAAATTGAGGAGCACTTTAACAACTGGTAATTTAAATTGCATTTGAACTCTGCTAATGGTTTGTTTGCATGGGAACTTCAATCATTTCACAGCAGTTCTTTAGCAAAGCTGCTTGTTCTCTTTATGGCAAAGAAGAAGGAAATTATTAAAAGAGAAGTTGACTTTGGGAAAGGGAGGCCACTTACACTGGCACATAGAAGGGAACAGGAGAATGGATATGCCTCCCCAGGGCCAAAGGTAGATAGAGAGCTGAGTCTTTTATTGAGGCTTACAAGTGTGGGGAGTCAGAAGCCCTTTGCCTCTCATAGAAACTGTTTTGTGTTTCTCTCCCCTACCCCTGCTCTGCAGAGGGGGCTTTGGTTTTATGGGGTTGGAGGTATTATCTTTTTCTTCTATCAGATTGCACTGTTCATAGCTCTAAAGTTGGCCTCTTACCAATCAGTGTCCCAGCAAATTTGAAGTTGTACTTCTGGTAAAAATGACTTTGGAGATTTCTGATAATCTGCAGACCTCAAACACTCAGGGATGAATGCTTCAGTGGACTCATCTCGAGTGGACTCCGTTTTCCTTATGGAATTTCTTTCTGTTGCTGAGGTGTACTTGAGTGTATAAGAACACAAGGCAGGTCCCTGCCCTAGTTAGTCTGTGTTAAAGATGGGCAGTAAGTAGATGTAGTGTCAAGCCCCAAGTCCCTTGTCACTCACTAGTGATAGTTTCCTGGATGGCCACTCCCCTACCCTGGTGCCAGGCTCTCTTGTTGTGGAAGATTTGAGGAAGTCACCTTAAGGGTCCCCCTGCAACTCTAGGCTTATACATGGATGGGAAGACTGACATTCAGGCACTTGCAGCAATTATATCATTGGCTAGAAGGTGCTCAAAGATGCTATGAGAATGAGGATGGAGTTTTTTTTTTTTCTGGTCTGTGTGTTTCAATTCCATGTATCATGGACAAGTTGTATATTAGTCCACTGCTCTGGAATATACATTGTATAATCCCGAGAAAAGAGCCATGGTTTTCCATGATAATAAGTCTGTATTGAGGACTTACCTTGGAGCACTAAGACTTTGCAGCTCTCTGTGGATCACTAGTTCTCATTTTACAGGGAAGGAAATTGAAATTCAGAGGGCCACTAGGTTGGGTTTTTTTTTTTTTTCTCTTCCTTAGTTGCGTCTTCTTGATCTGTCTCGTGCTTCCGTTATTTAGATGGAGTCAGTTTTCCAGGAGTGTTGAGAATGAGAGCATTCTCTTCCCCCTTCCTGTGAGACAAACTTACTAAACAAGAGTGCCAGGTACTGACTGGAGGGTTGAGGGATCTAGAAGTCAGTCAGACATCATTCTGCATGGTCTGACCAGAGACATTGCCCACCTGGGAAGTTCTGAAGCTGGTTGGAGCTGAGAGACTCAAACATTCCTCTCTGTGTTTTCCATAGGTGGGAACTCAAGGACAGAAGCAGAGGTAACGAGTCAGCTGGTTCTGCATTTGTCATCGTTCGCTGTTCCTTCTTTGGAGGGGAGTTATTTTCCCTGAGCTGGTGAGTCCTACATAGGAATATGCTTCTTTTTTTTTTTTTTAATAGCAATATATATGTTTAAATTAGTTTTTAAAAATAATGGGTTCTGGAAACAAGAACTAGGAACTGGAGAAATCTAAAATGTTCATTTATTATTATTATTATTATTATTATTATTATTATTTTGAATTGGCTTCATGGCAACAGACTAGATATAACAATGTCAATAAAATATGTGGCAAAGCAAAGGTGGGCTTCACCTCTGGCAAGGTGGCATGCATAGACACTGGAAGAAAACTCAGTGACAACAATGTCATCTTGCCAGTAATTGTATGGCTCCCTTCTTTTTCCTTTGGCAAGAAGTGGAGTGTCCTCTAAATTGAGAGACCGACATGAAGATGACAGGAAACAATCAGATGTTTCTTGTTTACTGCTGTGTAATGTGCATTTTTCTTTTGCAACCTCATTTATTTTCCAGTCAATCTTTGGAGGTGGAGAGGGCTAATTTAGTTTGGCAGAGCATGGGGGCCTCTGGTTTAATGACCTGCTGTTGTTGCAGTGAGAGTTGTGTGCGGATTTTGTTGCTGTCTGTTGGAAAGGTGACCAGATGTGTTTGTTGTCTTGCAGTGGTTCTCTATTTCACAGGCAGATAGGTATGATGGATAAGGCACAAAGAGTCATCTGTATGGTGTGACCTGGCAGTGCCTTGGTGACGAGCTGAGGGAAAGTTGGTAGGGGATTCTTGCTTCTACTGACTCTAGTTCTGTGGTCTCCATGATGAGGTTTAGTCCCTATCTACTACAAGGACTGGCATTAAACTACAGGCATATATACCTCACTCTGAGTGTTGTGGAGTTTTTCAAAACAGTGGATGCTGTTGTGATTGCAACTGACTTCATCCTTGTGTTTTGACATTTTGTTTTCTTAATTGTTGTTCCACGTCTTTCATTGGATGGTTGGTCTTTGGCTTTGACTTTGCAGTATTTATTAAACTCTCAAACATGGACTTGACTACTCCCCCCACCCCCAGGTTATGGTTATAGCATCAATGGGAAGCTTTGTTACCTGCTTCACCTTTCGAGTTTCTCAGTGTGTATAAGGTCAAACTGTGGTAGCCTTGAACATGAATTTAATGAACTCTATGTTATAATGGCAGAACAGGAAAGACTGCCTTAAAGAGTCAGCTGGAAGAGGCCCGGAAGTTTCTGTTATCCTTAGTTTGTTAGGATTCAACGGTGACTCTGGCTTCTGCAGCACTGACATGGCCAGGGCATGTGTTATTTGGAATGAGGTGGAAGGGTGACCTTGCAACCTCAGAAGACCTGGTTCAGAGTGAGGTGGCTTTGGGCTCAACTTGAGCAGGGTGCCAGCGCCGATGCTCTGCAGTGTTCTTTGTTTTGTCCCTTTTTGTTGCTGGCTTTATCATCCTCAAGATATCTGCCCAGTGACCGGGCTGAAGACATCTGCGTTCCTGTTTGGAGGATAGAGATCCTTGCTGCCATGTTCACAAAGGCTTTAGTTACTACACAGTGATGAACCTGTTACTGAGGCTGAAAGGATAGGACTGTGCTAATTGGAATATACACACCAGAGTGTGTCCTGCTCAAACCTCAGGGCAGCCACACAGCACAGATGAAGTGGCTCTTCAGAGCAATTGTACTTTTGGGGAGAAAGGACTAGAAGCCTTGCTCTTAGACTTCAGGAGAGTGTGATGCTTCAGTGCATGAGTCATCTTCTGGAAGGGATGTTAGCCAGCTGGACTCTACAAAGATACTGAGAGGACCAAAATGATGTGCCATCAAGAGCCGCTTACAAGAGTGAGATTGGAAAAGGCAGGATGCTGGGTCATATACAATCTTGACCTTCAAGAATATAATACCCACGGGGCTGGAGTGATGGCTCAATGGTTAGGCGCACTGACTGCTCTTCTAGAGAACCCAGGTTCAATTCCCAGGACCCACATGGCAGCTTACAACTATATGTAACTACCAAGATCTGACATCCTCACATAGACATACATAAAGGCAGAACACCAGTGCACATAAAATAAAAAAAATGGATTTTTTAAAAAATATAATACCTAGTCAGAAGAAGGACAGTGTTTGCCTTCTGTGTCCCATGTCTAATGGGTCATCTGGTACATAAAAGGCACATGACACAGCTTCATGCATAGAAGAATAAACCTGAACATGTGAGTGTCCCATTTCCCCAGGCTGCTCTACGAGGCCCTGACTGAATCTGTTGGCTAGAAATAGGCTTTTTTAGGGCAGTGTGGCTTCAAACATTTAGTATGGGTGCCGGCAAAGGTAGAGAGTATGGCGGGATGGGCTAACAGAAAGCCTGCCAAATGTTAGCCTTTCTTTGCCTTCATTTTCCTAATCTCAGGTTTTTAGGTTACATTGATTGTCTGATGGCCTCTTATATTTGCTTTGTGCAAGTCTGTTGGCAGTAGTTTATCAAGTGTGATTCCTTTATAGGTTATTGTTAATTGTTTTCTCCATCAAGATTCAAAATGAGTTAAAGGGGAAGCAAGATACTGTAAAGGCTGAGTCTAGCACTGTCCCTGGGATGTAGTACTTAGCTTGGCGGTCATCCTCCTCCACACACAGGCCCTGTCCTCGCCAAGACTAGAAGAGCAGTAACTCGTTCTGAGTCTCAGAAAGAAACTAGATTTAGGGCTTTAAAAAACAAAAAACAAAAATCATTAATGTTGAAACCTAAAGCAGGAAGAGGTTCCAGGAGGCAGATACAGAGACCTGCGATGTGGAATCCTTAAGAGACCCAGATTAGCTGTAGTCTAGCCTCAGAGATGGTTGCTTTGTTTGTTCACAGAATCACGCCTTCTGCCCTGAGCATGCCTGGCCCAGTGGGAGTCAGGAAGGAAATGATTTCCCTCTTTGGATATCAACGTACAATTGTTGTAGCCAAGCACTTTGAGTTTTAATATTTCCGTTTGGGTCTTAAGAGCTACCAGGTATTAGTGTCTGCCGGAAGCAAAACAGTGGTCATTTCTGTTAGAGGTGTATGTCTTGGCTCCCTGCAGTTACTTGGCCAGGTGGTTTCTGAGCATTTGTCACCATCTGTTGAGCCAGGTTTCATTTTTACTTACTTGTTTCACAAATTACAAGGGGACTTACTGAGTGTGAACCGAGGCCCAGGCTGTCTCCCAGAGTCTGTGGGTCTTCATGTAATGTAGGGCCACTTTGTAGATAAGATTGCTGTCAGTTAATAAAAGGGAAATACTCTCATTCAACCTTTCTCCTAGTCCCACAGTACTGTTTCTTGGATTTCAGTGCAGTGAGGATGACTCTTTCTTTCCTTGCCACAGACCTAGGACATCAGCGTTGTCTTTAAGAGTTCTTTCTCATTGGGTTATTTTGTGGTAGAAGGTTTCTGAACCCTGCAAGGATAAGTGGAAGATTCCTTGTACTGTTGCCACATGACTGCTTCTTGTTATAGTGTATGTAGTTTTCTTCTTTGAGTCTAGTATTTGTCAGAAATTTACCAACTCCAGAGGTTTTTTTTCCTTCCTGCAGTGGAGTCCTGGAGATTGAACCCATGGCTTTGTATATGAGAAGCAACCTCTCTGGCACTGAGTTACATGTGCAGTTGGTCTTAGACTCCTTAGGATATTGTGGTGTTAGGTACACTCCCTGGTCTCTAGAAGCTTGTAACTTTGAGGAATGATGCATAGAGAAGAAAGTCACACACAATGGGAAGAGATGTATAGAGAAAATAGTTACATACAATGGGAAGAGATGTGTAGAGAAGATAGTTATATCCAATGGGAAGAGATACATAGAGAAGATAGTTACATACAATGGGAAGGGATGCATAGAGAAGAGTCACACCCAGTGGGAAGAGATGCATAGAGAAGAGTCACACCCAATGGGAAGAAATGCATAGAGAAGACAGTTATATCCAATGGGAATAGATGCTTAGAGAAGAGTCACACCCAATGGGAAGAGATGCACAGAGAAGAGTCACACACAATGGGAAGATGGTTGCTTACAGTATTTTTATTTGTCAAGCCGTATGATATTGGGACAAGGTAAGTAAATCACCACCTCAGATCTCCCGGGGCCCAGACAAAGGGTGTGGAGAGTGTAGAGGATGGGGATCATGGGGACAGTTTCCACGGGAGGATTTATCTCTAAGGGAAGCCCAGTTGGATGGTATGGTGAGCCTGTGACCATGGTTTAGGCAACAGTGTGGCCAGTCAGTATCTGAGAATGGAAGTGGATAATATCAAAATGTGACTGATCAGGGTGGAATTTCCTGTGTGCTTCTGTCTCCAGCTCATCTCTAACCCTAAGATGAAAGTGCTGTGCTGACTTTTTATACACAGGCGTTATATTCACAGTTATGTGTGTGTGACCAGGGTGTCCCTGGGTCTGTGTCTCAGAGCTAGAAAGCATGTATTCAAGCCAGGTGGTGATGGCCCACACCTTTAATCCCAGCACTCAGGAAGCAGAGGCAGGCAGATTTCTTGAGTTTGAGGGCAGCCTGGTCTACAGAGTCTGTTTCAGGACAGCCAAGGCTGCAGAGAAACCCTGTATTGGAAAAAAACAAAAAAGAAACAGAAAAAACGAAATATCTATTCATCCATTATTCATACAGGTCAGAGACCTGGCAGCTTAGGTGGGTCCCTCAGCACTTCTCATGAGGTTGCAGGAGAGTTTTCCCATCCCTGTAGTCTCTCCTAAAGGATCTCCACAAAGCCCAGTCATGTGACTGCATTATGGTGTAAATAACTCCTGTCAGGTTGGTCTGAGGGTTTCCACTCCTGCTGTGCAGCTCTGTCCGTGGGGCAAGCTTCTAGGAAGGCAGTTGGCTTCTCTGAGTGTCAAAGGTTTTCCATGTTGTAAGCCACGGTCTTTGCTTTTAAAAAATAAATTAAATTTTTAATTACCAACACTGGAAATGATACCCTGTTCTCTGTGTTAGCTGTGTTTCACATGGGGAATGAGAGGGAAATGACATGACTCCCAGGATGTGGGTTATATAGGATCTGAGGAATT